TCTTCTTCTTCCGTCTCTTCCTCTCACTCTCCTGTTTGTGACGAGCAGGTAATGAGACCACAGTGAAGACGACTGCTCGGTTTATCTCCTCCTACCCAGCACCTGTTGATTTGGATTGTATGAGCTATCATACTCTCATCCCCCAATTTTTGGCCCAATTTACTATTAGATCAATTATAACATGTGACTGCAGGCAGTTTAGTAAAAATATATTGGGGGGGCGATCATGACTCAAAGTGGCCCTATTTCCTGGACTTCACCATTGAGAAAACACTATATATTTAGGTACCGAAGACAATAATAGAAGTTGCTGTAGTGACCGCAGGCATGACCCACAGAGAGGCTACTGACAAGAAGAGGTGGAGGCAAAACCACACTTTCCTCCCACACACAGTGATAGACAGACAATAAATGGAAAAATATAGTTTTAGAACATTTCCTGACCTTTTTTTGACACAGTTAAAAGTGAATGCGGTGTCAAATAGCAGTGCCTGTCTGGTGAAACATTTGGCATACTACCTGCTGTTACCTGCTGAAAACCACTGAGAAAAAATAAGTTTGAATGTTTGGTAGATTTTATGTTAACAAAAGCTTTTTTCTCACCCACAAATCAAAAAATGTAGGTGCAGGACTAATGACAGCTTCACTATTATGTGAATTCTGTAATGTAAGTAAGTAATGTAATCTGCTTACTTTTAGTTATTTTTGGATTACTTTAATGCCAAATAGGCAAATGAAGACAAGAGAGAATTAATTATGTGTTTGCTGCTCAGTGTACTTAACATACAATAACAATCTCTCGTTCCCAAAATCCATGTTTAAATGTTTTTATATGATATGCTTTGCACTATGTCACCACTATGGCAGTATCTCGGCGATCAATGAAAAACATTGTTTTGTAGGTATTCTTGATGATATTTAAGTTTGTCATTTGGAAAACCATTTTACAATTTTGATTACTCATTCTGTACTTGTATTAATTTTGCATCCAAAGAAAACAATATGAAGCTGCTGAAGCATAGTGTTTCTGGGGCCGGGCCCCACTGATTACCGCACAAAAACACAACTTTCTTCACTGATTCTGGGAAACTGGATCATATTTGATGGAGAAAATATAGAAATATGGAGAAAATATTTTTCTAGTTTTCTCTCTGATGTCCCCTGCTGCTCTGCTTAATTCTGTGATTCACAGAGTTTCCTAATGGACAGATAGCTTTACTTGTTACTGAAGTTAGTTAACAAGCTAACTAGCTGCTGTTATTAGCTCAGTTAGCTGTGCAACTACTGGTCAAATGAACTTACTCTACCCGTTCTGGGAGATCAGAGCACCGGAAGAGTGTTAGTGTTCACCATAGATTGTAACGCTATAAAGGTGTTTAAGTTACACGGGGTCTGTGGGTCCTGTGTGCGGGTCCGGGTTGGGGGGAGGGGCGGGCAGCGGGCATGGCAGTGGGGGTTGGAGGGGGGGGATTCTTGTGGTGGGTTTCGGTCCGGTGGTGAACGTGCGGTGTGGGTCACGGTGTAGCCGTGGGTGGGGTCTGTGATCTTCCTGGCTGCGGGGGGATGGGGGTGGTTTGCGCCGGCTGGCATCTCTCTTGTGCAGCGCATTACTTGGCTGTTGTGTGCCGCTAGTTAGATTTGTAGCGGGGTATTGTTGGTTGGCTCACCTGTAGGTCGTGATTGGCTTGCGTGCTTGTCGGGGGTTGGGGGCATCAGGTGCGGGCCTGGACTGGGCTGGTGTGCGGCTCAGTCCTGTGTGCATGCTGTGCATCCTGATAATTGTATTTCGGTTCTCTGAGGGGTCTGGCGACTGGTTGTTGGAGGGGTGGGGGACCGGGAAGAAGCGGTTGACGGGGTGGGTTGGAAAAAACCTGTGTTACAACTACCCTCCAATTTTAACTGCACCTTAGTTACCACACACCTTATCTTTACTCCACCATACAACACTTCCCAATCCATGACATGCATCCAACACAAAACAATACATTTACAGAGGCAGGCAGAGGGGTTGAAGGAGTGGGGGAGATTCTCATTGGCCTCATGTCCTGCCCCTGGAGCCCCGGGCGTCGGGGGTGCTGTGGGACTCGGGCTTCTGGCTTTTGCTCATTTCTGGGCGGGTGGTGTGTTGGCAAGGTGTTGGACCCCTCTGGATACCTCTGGAGAGGTATATAGTTAGTTTTCAGGATGTGCAGTGTGGGTGCGGGGCAGGGCTGTGCTCCGATTTGTTCTGGGATTGTGCCTGGTGTTCTCGGCCCTTGACGGGTGGGTGGGTTGGTGGTGGCATGCAGCTGAGCTGGTTGATTTTGCCTAGTTGCTGGTTTGGCTGGTGTTGCACGGCAGCCAGGGGGTCGTGCTGGGCATGGGGGATGTCGGCTGGTGCCGGCGGCCTTAGTTTTTTCCGGCAGACCTTTATTGGCGGGTGCACGGTGACCTGTGCGGCGCGTTTGCTGCCGGGCTGGGACTTGCTGCTGGTGTTTCTCTCCGCTGGCTTTCACTGTCGTGTTATTCCGCTTGCTCTCTCTCGTCTGCCGGCCTCGCACGTGGGATTCGCAGGGGGCTGCTGGGCATTGGGTGTCGCCGTGCTCGCGCAGTGTGCGTGTTGGACTCGTCACTTGTCCATTGGTGTTGATGATTGCGTGGCATTTGGGCGTTTTGGTTGTTTGCTGCGCGGCGGTGGGGTGCTGGGTGGGGGGGGAGCACTGGTCTATGTTGTGTGCGCGCTGCGGTCGGTCCGGGCGCTGCTCTTCCGCGGGTTATGCTTGTTGCGTTCCGTCTGCATTACGTTGTCAACTGGCATTTGAGTCGGGTCTTCCACGTTTGCTTCGCGGTGCATCTGGGAGTCTTTGTTTTTTTGATTGATTTTAATTTTTTTTTTCTCCCACCCCTATTGGCTACTGGGGTTCTTGCCTGCCTGTTGCTGGGGTAAGTGTGGCACAGTCGTGGCGCCCCACTCTCACTAACAACTACATTCTTTAACAGGCTTATGCGCACACACATGTACCCACACGCACACAGACACACACAGTCTCACACATAGACACAAACAAATTTAGGTTGTCCCTAGTAGAATTATTCCTGATGCTTTTCTTTCAGTTACTTATTGAAATTAATTGTTATTATTCCAGCTCTCGTGGCTGTGCTGTGTTGCTTATTTAGTGTACTGGACTGTTTCTTGTTTTCATTTTTCTCTTAGTTGTCATACTATGTTAGCTTTTTATTGCTGCTGTTCGGCTGGTTATTATTATTATTTTTATTGTTTGTTTGTTTGTTGTTGTTTTTCTCCTCCCCAAGCCCCCCTCTCTGTTCTATTGCAGGTTTCGTTGCTTTCTGCAATTGGTGTTTCCCACTGCTTTTCCCTGTTGTCCCCACCTTCCATCCCCCTTCTCTTACAGGTCTTGTCCTTTCTCTGTGCTGTCTGTTTGTGCCCCCCCATTCCCGTGTCTGCCCCCCTGTCCGACCCGGTGACAAATCAATACATAATTAAATAAATAATAAAACAGACAAAGGAGTATATTAATACTCTCTTGTTAAAGTAAAATCTGTCTGGCACAATATGGTATCCAGGTCATCATAACTTACTGAGATGATTTACACAGAGCTTCTGTGATGGCTTTACTTTTTGCTAAACTGCTAACTGTAGCCTGCATCTGCCTGTATTGGTGGCTGGTTACTTCGGTTGGTTAGCCATGTTGCTAGCGGTCCTATTAAGTTAACTTACTCAGCCCCGGGTTACCAAGAGCCTGACTGACAGGGGCCCCAAAAGATAATTATAAACTAATATCAAATTATACTATATTATACATTATATAAACATCATCATCGAGTATAAATATTTATTTGTTTTTTCTAGCATATCGAACTACAAGAAGCCAGACACTTGCAAGCCTTTAATTAGAGTTATGTAAAGCTTTTGATCGCACAGTCCTAGAGAAATTGTGACAACATCTGCGCAGAGGGGTCCAAATTTGAGTTTTTGTCATAGGACCCAAAATTCCTGGCGGCCCCCCTGCATATACCACAGACTGTATATAAAAAAAATATATGGGGGCAAATAACACTGCGTTTTCTGTTTCATAGAAACTTTCTGCTTAAAGTAATCCCTACGAGTAATCCCCGATTTTTCAAAATGTACCTGTAATCTGATTCCGTCTTTATTTTCTGTACTGTAACAGAATACAGTTAAATTTTTTTTGTATCCTAATATGTACTCCATAACCCTGTGCACGTGCTAACCAAACCAACAAAGCTAAATACAACAAGGGTCCTTTTAAGCCAAGTTAGGTCATTGTTTTCTACTAATTAGCTAATGTTAGCATGCTAACCTGCCATATTAAGATGGTGAACAAGGTAAACATTGTACCTGTCATTGAGAGCATATTAGCATGCTGATGCACAGCAGCGGCAGACAAGCTACAGACATATTTTTGGCATACCAACAGTTGAATGAACAGTTAATACATGAACGCAGGATTTAAACTTGAACGCAGGATTTAAAATGCAGCTATTTATACAGATATACTGTATATAACATATCATTAAAATGATATTCTTGAAATGTTTTTACTTCCCATTATTATGATCTCTCCCAATCCACTGCGCTGGTGTGAAACTATATACTGAAATACAGAACACCAGCACAGTGTTACTGTTAAATTATTCAAATCAGAGCAGTTTACATTGTTTCCTGCATTATTCAGTTGTACAATTACTGAATAGTTTTTATGTAGCTTGGAAATTACAGGAATTAATACTGAGACACTTCTGCAAAGATTAAATGATGATGTGTCTTAATAAGACGTTTTGCTCACAGATAAAGGTTTTTTTCCTCTCCCTCTACACACAGCTATTTGTCTTTTGCCTTTCTTGTCTAATTGTCATAATTTCAGCAGCTTAGTCCAGCCATACTTCAAAACATTTGTCATTCTTTTTGTTGATAGTATTCTACTTAAGTAACATTTTGAACGCTGGGCTCTGGGATCTGAATCCTTCCACCACTGCAGAACATTGCTCAGCCAGCTTTGTAATCTTCTCCCACACAAACAACCTCAAATCTTTACCTGAATCACAGAGATTGTTCTGGGTTTGTAGTTTTCTTCTCATCATCTCTGCTGTTTGCTTCCTCTCTGCAGGGATCTCCATGCCCATTCCTGTGCTGGGACTCAGAGACCACTCCAAGGTCTTCAAAGATGGCAGCTGCCTGCTGACAGATAACAACTTCGTGCTGGTTGGGTCCTTCGTGGCCTTCTTCGTGCCCCTCACCATCATGGTCGTCACCTACTTCCTGACCATCAACGCCCTGCAGAACGAAGCCACCCTCTGCTTAGACCAGCTGGTCCACGGCCCAAATGGAGCACGACATTCACTTTGAGCTTCTTACCGCAAACCTCGCTGTCCTCTGAGAAACTCTTCAGACGTTCAATAAGCCGTGAGGCAGGTGGCAGAGGAAGCAGCGGAGGTCTGGGAGGCGCCCGCGGGAGTGTCTCCGGCTCGCTGTTTGGTCGCCGCACCATGCAGTCAATCAGCAACGAGCAGAAGGCGTCTAAGGTCCTCGGGTGGTGTTTTTTCTCTTTGTGGTCATGTGGTGCCCGTTTTTCATTACCAATGTGCTGGTGGTGGTGTGTGACCCGGCGACGTGTGACGCAGGACTCATGGGAGGCCTGCTGAACGTTTTCGTCTGGGTGGGATACTTGTCGTCCGCAGTCAATCCATTGGTCTACACACTTTTTAATAAAACATACCGAGCGGCATTCCTGCGCTACGTTCGCTGCCAGTACCAGTCAGAGAAGAAGCCTCTTCAGCTCATACTGGTTAACACTATCCCGCCGATGGCTTACAACTCAACCCAGCTGCCCCTGGGCGACATCGGGAAGTTACGAAACGGAGCGATGCACTCTAGTGGCACAGTGAAGGACTTCTCTTTACCTGGACAGGAAACGGAGAAGTGTAGGCTGGACAAGAGTCATAGTGACGGGGATGAGAGCTGTGTGTGAGCACGTCCGAGACTGTAATAAAAAACCCTGCTTCAAAACTTTTAACTTCTGTGGTCACATCATACTTGGGAGCGAAGGGTTTGTGGTTTAAAGTCAAAGTACCAAAGACAAAGTGCCTCCCAGTCAGGATTTTAGAAAAACTTACCCAACCTCTAAAGAAATAGAAAATATCCGACTTCTGATCCATGTCCCATCAACAGGGTCTGGATCAGCTGAATCAAGTTTGTGAGTTCCTTATTACAACAAAAACACCTTTTGATACACCTTACTCAAACACAAAATCAGTCAGTCCTTGTTCCATGGCTTAAAATCTCTACTGTCTTTGGTCTCAGTGCTGTTTCAGAGCCTCTGCTACACTGCCAGCAATGAAATTAGTCTATTTTATTTTATTTTAAAGGTATTGAGTCTATCAATATCTTCCAGTTCGAGAGCAAATGAGATGGATGCAAAGGAGGGGAAGTCCATGTGAATGATAAGAGACACTCTACAAAAAGTGATATCATTTACCCATTTTGTAATAAACTGAAGACGAAAGAGGTAAACACATTCATAGATTCTTCTCATTATTTGATTTTTCACGGATGCTCAGCTGCAGTGACTTCGGCTACCCCTTCATTTCACCGACTGCCTGGCATCGGTTAGGTGGCCTCTACCTCCCGTTGGGTGGATCAGCAGGGATTAGAGTGGATTTCCTGAAACCTTATCAGATGTTAGTGTCAGGGGAGGCAGCTCCAGGATGAGCCTGACACAGACTCCAGACACTTTGGCAGCTTTATCTGACCTCTGCAAATGGGAAGGAAAGCTGCTTCACCTGTGTGTTCTGTTGGTAACTAGCAACTAACAAGGCTGGTAATTACAAGGAGAATAAATATGTCTGACAGCAGAGGCTCAAAAGATAATGATGTTACAGAAAGACAGCGTAAATAAATCTATATTTGTATTTTGTGCAGATATATGTGAATACGTGTATATGACTGTTGAGGTTAAAAAGTTTTGTTATTTACAAAGACAATGATTATTGTTGCCGATATGATGCAGTATGACGATTGTAAAATGGGAATCCATTGGCAGGAAATTAAGAGGATTTAACTGCAGATGTGTTCATTGTAAAAGTCACACTTTTCATTGTGTTCTTGCCAGACTACCAGTGCACAAATTGGCATTTGTTCCAAAAGCATCAAGGTTTTTCTTCAGTCTTTAGACGTTGTAATGAATGGTTTGATAGTTGTTTGCCACATGTTTAAAAATTGTTTAAAATGTGCTAAAATGGTTCTGCTGTTTAAGACTGAAGAGATAATCACCTGGAGGAAGGACAGAAGCTGGACTAATGCATAAAGGTAAGCTTGGACCATGGATGTATTATCAAGGTGCATTCAGACAGGAGCTGCAGACTTGTAGTGTCTCAATTCGCGCCCTTTCAAATGTATACTTACTATTTTGAGTGCAAGTTTGTTCACACTGACATGGAAAAATGCAGTGCACTATGAGTACCTGGATGGTGCACTCATAATGGTCAAGAAGTTGAGTGTGAGTGGGGGGGGGGGCTCTAATATATTTTCAAACTTGTAAAAATGGGGGCCCATGAAAGCTCTCAGCAGTTGTGATAATTACAGCAGAAATACGTTCATTGTTATTTATTTTTAATAAAACTGAATTGTAGTCAAGTGAGCATAAGATCACATGATAGTGATATGTTACAATTTGCCATTAAAAAGAAGTTAGTGCACAAAATGGACGCACTACACAAATAAGTACAAAGTACACAGTGTAATGCATGTAAGAGTACGGATGTATCTAAATTGAGACAGACTATTGTAGGGGAGAGTTGGGTGAGTTGAGACAGTTTTTACTTGAGGTGTGTTTAAAGTGAGGACATGACAGTAATGTCTCCAACTAAAACATGTACATATATTTTAGAATGTGGTGCATCCCTGGGAATAATCAATCTGGATCTAAAATAAACTGTTTTCCAAAAGCTTTCAGGTCTAAAATGCATAATGTCACATCATTTGGGTGATACATAAGAATGCAATGTAAAATTACAGTAAAATATCTGGTTTGCCCCACGTATTTGGTTCAAATCACCCATCCCGCCATTTTAACAAAATTGTGTCATCCAGCATTTTAAGGGTAACGCCACGCATATTATAACTTCCTAAAGCACTACCACATGCACAGGATTTTCTAAAACCCGTCTGTAATTGTTCACACAGAATCAGGACTCCTTGAACGTAAAAAATCACTTTGAATGGCAAAAAACAGTTTTTTGATCTTAAATGTGCTTATCACTTATTCCATGGGCCTCTCTTCATCACACTGAGAGTAAAATGGATGACTCTTCAAAATGTGTGGTCACATGACCAATTTTGTTATGGTTGCCAAGAAACAAGGTGTGGCTCAACGTCCCCACAGGCTAACTCTAACAGACTGCCTAAAAGTCTGAACGCTAAATGCTAAAAGTCAAAAAAGTGGATGCAACTTTAACCCCAATTAGCTAACACACAGCCTATTTAGCTAAGAACGTCGGTATGTCTATTCATCGGCTGTTTGTGGCAAATAAACTGACGAAAAACATCTCACTCAAATTTGCATTAATTAAAAGGTCCCCTGTGGAGTTTCCTTTTAAACAAAAACATACATACATTTAGTGTTTCTCACCAAATCACACTGTGTGTGTCTGTATCCATTTCCTTCCTTCAGTGAGCTAAAGGTGACCAGTTCATTGAAATGCCACCAACATCTTTCTTTGCGTGCACCCATGTTATCCTAGCAGCCGCCATCTTCGACCCATTGTAGGGTCATTGCTATATTGGCATGTTACTGCGATGTGTCCATCAGTGCAATAGCATATAGCTTTACCCCTGAGATGATTTCAGGCTCATACTAAAATCCATCCATCATCTATACCCGCTTATCTGTGCATGGTTGCTGAAGCCAATCCCAACTGGCCTAAGGTGAAAGGTGGGATACACCCTGGACAGGTCGCCAGTCCATCACAGGGCACACAGACACGAACAACCTGTCACGCAATTTAAGGGCAATTTAAAGTCACCGCTTAACATGAAGAAGAATGCAAACTCCACACAGAAAGCCTTGGAACCTCGGAACTTCTTGCTGTGAGGCGACCCCCCATAGAAACATAAATAACACAAAGTCATATAAAATATAAAATCTTTACAGTGTAAAAACTCCTAATACAAATAGTACTAACTGACCATGGTTAAGGTTTAAGATGACAACAGTTTAAGTACAACATTCGGCCACTGGGCCAAACTTGCAGCTTGACTGACTCTGCATCCAGCTCTTTTAATACATCCATGGCTTCCACCATATTAAGAAAAGTCTTAAAAATCAAAGGCTCCAAGAAGTAGGATGGAGGTGGAAATAAATGCGCAGCAAAAGTGGAATGTATCATTCAAGTTATTTCAATTTACTACAGCTGTGTGCACTGCTTCCTCTAAATGTTGGTGGCCTGCCGTGGCTTTGGTAATGAGGAGTTCACTTCCACGATGCTAAATATCCATTTACAGGATCCAACTTTGAAAGGGTTTATAAATTACCAGGTAATAACATTTTTTAAATAACGTTGTTTGTTGGACTTTTTTACTATAAAAAAAAATGGGTGTCACTCTTTGCAGTAGTGGCTATTGCATTTTGGAGCAGAACTCTTCACATGTAACAAGATGGCTAAAGCTAGCTCAGGGTAAGGGTTAAAGAAAGAGATGATACTTGTTGCAAAAAATGTCGTACAGAGAAGAGTATGTAAGAGAAGAAAATTAGGGTTTTCAGCCAAAGCATGCAGCAGGGAGGTTATTTATCGTCACCACAGCTGTTATTTACAACAGAAGGTTATTAAGGCAACAGAACAGTGAGGCTGCTCATAAACAACAGTAATGAAGTAAGAGAAATATTATCTCAGCAGGTGGCTGCTTTTAGCTTTATGGCAACATTTAGCAGTGGGGCATTTTCTTCTACCTGCTGAGTCACCGCCAGCGTATACATAGAAACAAAGAAGTCTGATTCTTCAGCTTCTGTCTGTCCAAATGAACGGCAGCTGATGAAATGTTAAGTATGTAACAGAAACAGGGTGGGAGATCAGCAGCCGTCTGCTGTCAGATTGGATCTGGCTTTCGGTTTTGTAAGTTGGTAAATATTCTGTCGGAAAATTCAGTTTACTTTGCACTCTGGGTCTTATTTATAAGTTTTGGGGTTTATTCCCCCATCATATAGAAAATCTGTCTATCTGCACAACTGCACTTAAAGTTGAAGTCTGTCAGCAATATGTAGCCGATGCTTACAACAGAAAGACTGAATAATAAAAACTCAATTTGAGACTCGGACTCGAGTCAGACTTAAGTCGCACACAGTGACTTCAGACTCGACTTGCGACTTGTCCTCAAAAGACTTCAGACTTGACTCAGACTCGGGGTGTGGGACTCTTGAACACTGTTTATTTTTAGGAAACGTCTGATGAGCATGCTGTTATTACCCTCACTCCATTACCTATAATCTGCCTACATAACACGTAGTATCTGCTGCAGGCAGCCACACGTGAGAGAGGACAACAAACACCGCAGCTGCTGAGCCATTCATCATAAACAAAGAAGCGCTGAATGCAAAATAGGTAACTTGAGGTTAGTAAACATGTTTAGCCCAGCATTGGCCATCTAACGTTAGCTTGCTTCTTGCTTTAGCTACGACTTACGGGTGGTTAACTCAAACTGTTGTTCATTATGAAAAGATGAATGAGTGTTCGTTTGCTTGCCAAACTTGTGGTGGTCTATTAACGTAATCATGAACGTCCCGCTTGCTGCCATCACGTTAGTTATTAACGTTGCAAACAGGTTACAGGTTTATTGTTGATAATGTAACGTTACAGTTTTATTTAGTTAACGTTAACTGGGTTTTAGAGTCTGGGGATGTGTTGATTTACTAGGCTAGTTAATAAGCTGTCATTAATTGCATTGCACATTACATGGCTGTGCTCTGTAAGTGAAAAACAGGTTACAGTTACAGAATTCCTTATAGCTATGCAGTGTTCTAAGCAGCCTGGATTGAACGCAACAGGAGATACAACATTCATTATAACCACGAGTGACTTGAGAATTGACTTTGACTAGCTCAGAGACTTGAGACTTGAATTGGGAATACTCTCAACCCCATCACATCTCATGCGCCACATATACACGCTTTGGAAAGCCGTGTCCATTGTACGCAAAACGGCGATTTTGCATGTATATGATACACTGCAGTTTGCAATAGCGTTGCAACACAAAGGAGGCTGAAGGGTTAGTCGGTCGACGTGCATATATTTACTGACTTAGGTTTAGGCACTAACTAATGCCATGGTTGAGG